ATCACGGATTGGACACTCCTTCAAAAGGCATGAAAGACGTTAAAATCATAAAACTCAAGTCAGGAAAACAGAACACAAGAATACTACCCCACATGGAAGCCAGTCGAAGTCGTCGAAGAACGAACACAGTCGAAGAACGAACACAGTTGACAGCTGTAGGTCACGTGCAACAACAGACACGAGGAGCATGGCTGCTCTCCAAATGGGTCCCTTCTTTTGTATTGACCCCCTAATGATTACTGATCCCCCTTTCTAACTCTTCCCCCAAAAATAATATATCGCCCCTTTTAAAATGTATTGACCCACAAATTAATGAATATTCATGAGCACAGAAACTGCTATGTCATGAATAAATTAGCATAATTTTAAAAAAAATTGCATAAAGTGTAGGTACTCCTTCTGGAGCTCTGCCACTATTTTTACTATCATTTTAATTTAACCATCTTGGTGAGTACATGTATAAGATCTAATCATGTGTTCAACTATTTCGATTATCATTTTAATTTAACCATCTTGGTGAATACATGTATAAGATCTAATCTTGTGTGGATTGATATCAAAGTTGTATACCCTTATCTTATAAATCCTTGGTATAACACATCTATTTAAACATCAATGACATTATAGGAATGTCTCAATGTATTATATTATGTGTTTACTTTGCAGAAAAACTGCAATCACATTACCCTACATTGTGGATGAAAATTCAGTTCTTGTCAAGATGATTGCAGCTCCTGTCAATCCTGCTGATATTAACACAATACAAGGTTTGACATCTTTTAAGTATTTTCTGATATCACTTTTATCCTTGATAAGTGATTTCAAAACTGGGTGCAATTAAATGCTGAAATATTCAGATGTAACCAAAATAATATTAGGAATACTCACTTCTGCATAGGATATTATGTAGGTGTTATTTTTCATATGTGTGATTGTTTTTCCAGATAAAGTCACAAAATATGTGCTCTGTAAGCAGGTCTGTTACACAGTGAATGGTAAAATTTATGGAATTTGCTTATCGTGTGCTAACTCAGATTTTGTGAAATTTCATAATTTGACCACCACCCTAATAACCTATTACAGATAATGTGTGGAGACTGTGTAGGTCTGTGTCGTGTCTGCTAGCAACAGGAAATTTGACAAATATTATTAGAGTATTCTATATGACAATGTACATACACTGCAAAATGTGATTAATTTTCTCCAATTTCGGTAACAAATGGCTTCATGTTACCCCAATGGATTGCTTTTCATAACTAGTGTGTTTTTTTAGATGAAAATCAGATGGAATTTTAAATTCTATAATCGGTAAAAATTTTAGGAACCAATAAATTATAAAAATCTGCCAAATAATCATGTGACCAACATTTTAGAGTGGGCGAAAATTTAGAATTTTTATGATAAATTAAAACTTGGTGAATATTCAAGTTTTTGACAGTGAATTTAAACCCAAAACTACCACAATATAACTCTCGGTATCATCAAATGTCACAAATGTCAAGTTCAATTCCATCCTGATCTGATTCACCTTTGCATTATTATTTTCCAGGTGTATACCCAATCAAGCCATCTTTGCCGGCTGTGGGAGGCTTTGAAGGAGTTGGAATAGTACAAGAAATTGGAAAACAAGTGACAAAACTGTTGCCTGGTGATGTTGTAATTCCTGGTGTAAATGGCATAGGTAAGTATATAAACACTTTGACAAAACTGCTGTAGTAATGCTGAGGTCTGTTATTCATCAAAATACCATATTTACTTTATTAGTAGCAGATAATCTTACATACACAGGGAGGTGTGTCTGTGCTCAAACTAAGTCATATTTTAATGATCCAATTCACAGTAAATTACAGAGAGATGTTCTTTATATGTTTTATTTCAGGTACATGGTGTAGCCATACAGTACAGAATGAGAACGACTGGTTGAAAATACCGCCAGGGACACCTACTTTATTCGCAGCAACTTTAAGAGTAAATAATTGTACAGCTTACAGAATGTTAAAAGACTTTGCCAGGTTAGAAGCAGGTAACAACTGATACACCCTTTCTATGTGATTCCCACAACCAAACAG